ATATACTGACGACTTATGTATAAAACTTACGCATAATGGGGAATGGAAAGAGTCGGATGAAACCCTTATAAGAGTTAGCAAATGATAACTTTCCCAAAGATAAAAAATATTTAGGTATGCCAGATTCTCGTGGTATGTATGCTATATATAAAGGTATATTTGTTCGATATGGAAATTTTTATGATAAATATATTCCACAAGATCAATATTATAATCGTGGAAAATGGTCACTTCAAAAGAAAAGCCAATTACGAGATAGATTTAGTAAGCGTCTCCAACAATTAGAAGTGTAATATATTACATCTATTTATTCGATTATAACTATTTTTTCATCTGTATTTCATAATTTTTTGCCTGCAAACTTTTGACGCGCTTCTATCTCTTTCTGTAAATTTTAATGGAGTGTCAAATCTTAAACGAATTGCTAATGGATCATCTTCTGGTCTATCTAAATCAAATACAATAAATTCGCCTTTGCGTAAGTAGCTGTTAATAACCATTGATGCATTCTTAACATCATCAGTATATTATTATTAATGCTCCAGTGGAGACACGAAAGACTTTATTGTATGCATAAACGGGAATCACAGATACATACGTTAGACTAACTTTGGTCAACGCGTAACCAAGTCTCGCCACCTGAGTGCTCCCTTTACCCCCTCAAGCACTCATCGTAAGGCAAATTTTGCACCCCCCTGTAATTTTATTCGGTAAATCATCCGGTTATCTTTCCATTAAAGTACGAATAAATATTTCGCTAGTCACGTGGAGATGATTTTGTTACTGCGCTTATGACACAGACCCGTGACTTTAGAACAGCGAGAATAGATTTTTTTATTTTGAGCCTACTGCAAAACATGTCCAAACGCCTCGATTTTTATCTCGACAATATAACTGAAGACTGGACGTGTCTCAAAGTAATAGGCTTTTACCGTACAAAAATAAAACGAAAGGGTTTGAAAGAAGTACTGAGTTCTATACACAAAGATCTTCGAGATATTGCAAATTCTAATCCTAGATTTGACGCGACAAAGAAGAAAAAAGCTCGGGAAATACTAGATAACTGGAAAGTATGCACGCTGATAGAGTAGAATGGGCTATTTGTCTGGACAATGATGAACTTTAGATTCGACACTTAGCGCGAGCTGGGACTTTAGGTCTCCAGTGTTGAACTTTAGGTTCGACGCTTTGTGTAAGCTGATAGAGTAGAGTGAGCTATTTGTCTGGACAGTGATGAACTTTAGGTTCGACACTTAGCGCGAGCTGGGACTTTAGGTCTCCAGTGTTGAACTTTAGGTTCGACGCTTTGTGCAAGCTGGGACTTTAGGTCTTACAAGGACAGGGCCCTTGGTCCAATGCTCTTTTGCTCTATATGCTTTATTCTATATTGTTATTGTTGAATATTTCTGAAATTATACTAATTATTCTTTGTTTTGTCAAGAACTGGACCGCACCACTAAAGAACTTTAAAAAAGATTGTGCACGAATCAAAGTCGATTTTATGAAGGTAAGACAGATAAACCAATTTGCAACCGGAGATGGAACATACAACGACAATCGCCAGGGGAAACATCGTCGAGATGTGGATGATGATGAAAAAAAGATGAGTACTGAAGGAGCTACAATTCCGGCAAAAAAGGTGAGATTAAGTGACTCTATTAACGTATTAATTCCTTTACAACGGATAGCTGATCATTTATGACATAAATAATAAATTGACATTTTTTACCTTTCCACCTCATAATAAGTGCAAAACTAAATCTGGAAAAAGAACGAGAAGTGGGAGAGTAGTTGTACCGGATTATCGTGGATTACTTACAGCTACGGATGTCGGAACTTTCTCCAAAAAAACTACATACGAAGATGAAAACCCCTCCCAAGAAAACGAAGAGGAAGCAACGACCGAGGATTCTTTTGAAAATTGCTCCCAAGGAAATGATGAGAAGAGAACTATTCAAGATGATATTGTAAGTAATTATCTAATAATGCACTTTAAACCAACAGATGTTTAACGCTTTGATTTTTTTCTACCAGATAACAGACATCTTAGGAAATACTGAACTCTCAGACACATCAAAAGAAATTTTTACGATTTATAAAGCGCAATACCCTGATGGCGATCTAATTGATCTCCGACTGAAATCGCCCTTTTTAAAAAAACTTTCAAGACAAATAGCAACATCGTTTCTAACGGAATTGGATACCATGACAGAGACGTTGGTCCCCGTAAAAGTTCATGAATTTCTTGTAAATTTTTTCTCACAAAACTTAACAGCCGAGAAGTGGAATTACCAAATCGATGATTTGAGAGCACCCGAAAAAGATGATTTTATAATGAATGCAGTGGTACGAATTATACGTCGTACATTGCCACAATTGTATGTAGGCATTATTATAATATTGATTTATTTTTTCAGATTCTGTTCTGAATGTTTCTTTCTTTTGTGTAGTATTAAAGCATTTTCACTCGAAGAACAGAATCCACTTTTAAATATTGCCACAATAGAACATGCGCATCTTAATGCTTTCGTTCACCCGTGTCTTGACGCTTCTTTATGGTACATTGCTGGTATACACTATGAATTCTGCGAGATAACGTCGAAAAATCACACTAATGGTAATCGAGCTGATGGAGTTGGTTACATGACGGATGCTGATAAGTATCAGCTCATTTATGTTGAAGGCTCGAGACCAGTAACAAAAGATAAAAAGGAAACCGATGACATCAAAAAAATAACAGATAATTTAAAGAATATATTCGCGAATATTGTAAAGGAAACCATCAAAAGCAGGCAACGTTTACCAAAGAAGTTGTATGTATTCGGTGGTCAAAGTTTTCGTCTTCGGATATATTTATACTTTCTTGATCATTGTGGTATGTGTTTTCTTTCTATTTGAAAATTACACTAAGAATGTACTGATGATTTGTTACTAAATATTAATTCAGGAACGTATAGATTAAACGAGATTGATAATGCCAATCTTCCTCGGAAATTTTCTGAAATGAAAAATTTCGTTTATTTCTATGAAAGTGTATTGAAATGGTCGGTATGTATTAATGTGGATTTACATGGCGGCTATTTGTTGTTTTTGTCCTTCAGAAAGGTCAGTTCCTCCTTTTATGATATTAAACTTCCACTAATCTTATGTATTTATAAATTTAGTTATTGGTTCGTGATGTTACAGCATCCTTTGATGATGCAAGAGCTGAACAAAGACCTTCGCGACTTTCGTATGCAAACGCTCTTCTCCAGTTGGATTGATCTTTATTGATGTTAAAAATGGTTGTAATATGTGGGCATCTTGGACTGATTTGAAAATATTGATCTTACATAAATTATGAATACAATAATTTCATTGATATATTTCTCTTTGCAGTTCATAATAAACAATCATAATAAAAACAATAAAAGCTTTTTCAGTTGATTAAAAAGTGATTTTTCTATACTGTAATACCTAACAGTTAGTATTTAAAGTTTAATGAGACCCAATTCTCGAAGATGTTCCGGAATAACTATATATGGGTCTTCGTAGTACCAAACATACCTTAAAGCAATCCAATTCTCTTCGCATAATCCTTTCTTGAGTTGATCCCGTGTTTGCTGTTTGATAAAATTATTGGGATCGCCTCCATGAAAGAATTCGTGATATTTTTCGTGTTGTATGCCTTGTACTTCGATTGCGAAGCCATATTGCGGATAAAATATATCAAGTTCTAGTCCATTTGGATATT